TTGGGGGTAGATTCACCTCTTCTTGAACTACCGGAGCCAAATAGAGAATCTGAGGGTTAGTATAAACCGGAAAGATGGGTCCACAGTGCAGGACACAGTGCCTGGGCCTGTCCTGGTAGGGTCTGCGTGCGCACCCCCGAACACATGCTCACACGGAGGAGAGGCCAGGAGGCCTGCCTGCAGCAGGGGTGGGTGACCTCCTCCTACATCCTGAGTGAAGAGCCTGGAGGATGGAAGGATGAGCTGGATGTCGCAAAGTGAATTATAATGGGATAGACGTAATGGCATGACCGGGGTTGGCAGTGATGGGTACACCCCCTGTCCCATCCTTTGTGAGTATGCAGCCCGCGGGGCGCACTCATGACTCTCCCAGACTCTCCAGGAAGCCCCTGAGCAACCCCGATCCCGCAGGGCTGACCCCGGCTAGGCCACACCGGAAGCAGTGTGGTCATGTCTGGAGGCCCGTCCATGGACCTTGGGTGTGCGCATCCTGCCCTCCGAGAGTGTCAGCTCACCAGGCTTGCCCACTCACCACCCGCCCAGCCCCTGGCACACCACCCGGCCTCACATGCAGAGTGCCAAGTGGCCGGCTGGGGGCAAAGTTTAGAGGACAGACAGTGATTGTCTCCCACAACACCTCATGCTGGCTAACCCTAAAGATCAGCTGGTGATAGGGAAGGATGCACATTTTTAGGAAATATAATTACTAGCCCCACCCCGTGATTTTCTTACTCAAAGGTCTGCTGAGGCCAGGAAACAACGCTTTTGTGAAGACCTGAAGTTAAAGCATCTCAGGACCCCAAGGCGAGGACCCTGCAGTGGGCGGGGCGGGGCGGGAGGCCAGGGTGGCGGCTCTCAAAGCAGGCGGCGCTGAGGCCAGGGGTCCCAGAGCCCGTGCTGCTGCTGTACTGGCCACACCTGAACCCGGTCACCCGGCATGCCACCCATGGAGGGATGTTCGCTGGCCTTGGGCCTTGGCAGTGAACAACAGCAGTGTCAATCGGCATGCTGAGGACGGGAGGCCGGAGATTATTGGCGTTTCAGAACGATGAGCAGGCAGGTTCTGTAAAGCGATAGTGGAACTGCTGTCTCACACTGACCCTGACACCGGATGTGAGCATCCCAGGGCCATCCCATGAGGGGAACCAGAGCCGGGGGCGGGGGGGGGGCGGGCGGCGAAGCCCTGGTTCCGGACCACCACCAGCTTCGCCTGCAGGCCCTTTGCCCTCTTCTCCCTGGGGACCCACCCTGCAGTACGGCCAGCCATGGCCCATGAAGAGTGGTCAGTAGGTCACTCCAGAACCGTGGGTGTCGCCTCAGCCTCTGCCCCTAAGAGAAACTTTCTTGAACAGGTTTTGCTTGGACTTTAAGGCAGAGGCCAGGGAAATGCTGAAGAGCAGCTGTCCCATCCATGCCCAGTTTGGGGCAGCGGCTCTGGGTGACTTCAGTGTCCTTCTAAGGTTGGAGACAATGCTGGACCGCAGAACCAGTGAGGCCGGCGCCGGGTGCTCAGCAGAGGCAGCAGGTTGGGGACATCCCAGGACACAAGCCCCTCAGGGGAAGGGGGAGGGAAGTCGTGCCAGTGGGGCACTGGGTGGGGAGGCTGATGCTCCTGGGTGCCATGGCCAGGAGCAGGGGTGTCCAGGGTCTTGAGGAGGGCCCTGCCGGGAGGCTCCCCACACCTCGGCACCCTGGCTCCACAGGTGGCCGGCCTGTGCTGCTGCGGTGTCGGGTGGCCCTGATGACAGGTCCCCTCCCCTCAGTCTCAAGCCATGGGGTCCAGGTGGGTCAGCCTGCAGGTATCCCTTTGGAGATACGGGGACAGTAAGGGTCAGATGAAGTCACCAGGGTGGGGCCTAAGCCAGCAGGGCTGCAGTCCCTGGAAGAGGGAGGAGCCCCTCCAGCTGGGGCAGACCCTGGGGAAGAGTACTCAGCCCACACCCACCCCTCAGTCCCCTACCCAGACACGCAGCACCCCCGGGCTCTGGGAGATGCTTGGGGTCCGCGTGTCTGGTGTGAGCCTCCGCTGCTGGAGTCTGACCTGCCTGTGGCTCTGGGCAGTGCCACACTCAGGGCTTCCTCAGTTTCCCCATCTCAGATGGAGACCGAGCCATCTAGATCCCAGTGGGTCTGAGGATGAGCTGAGGCTGGGCAGCGCTCATGCCTAGGGGCTGGCAGTGGTGGTCTCACCACTGTGTTTATCACGGACTTGATGGTTTGGCCTTCAGGTTGATTAGTTCAGGAGAGCAAAGCAGCCCACTCCTCTAGAGAACCTTTAACACGCGGGAAGCAGCAGGTTTACCTGATCTAGGTCGTCTGATTTGCTGACTGGTTTGAACCAAGTGAACTCCACTTGGCAAGGTCAGGGCAGCTCCAAGAGGCTCTGGGCCAGCGGGTCTCCTGTGTGCGCCACAGTCACTGTGTGAGCACCTGCAGGCTGCCCAGAGCCTGAAAAGTGGGAGCTTTGCCCAGCAGCCTCTGGAGTGTCACCCCCACCCCACCCCACCCCCGGTTCCACTGGGTCTCGGGCACCCTTCCTTTGCTTTAGGACAAAGCCATGCAAAAGGACCGTAGCGTGATACTTTCCAATCACCCGATGGCTTTGTATGAACGTGGGGCTGTCTCAGAGCCATCACCTGGGGCAGCTTCGCAGATGCCAGACACACATGTGAGCACAGCCCCAGGTCAGATTTCACTGTCCCCCCACCCGCACGCTGCCTGTGCTTTTCCCTCCGTTTCAGTGACACCGCATTTCACTGAGAGCCTTTCAGGTGGCCGATGCCCCTTCCAGAATGTTCTGGAGCTGGTTGGAAGGTGGCTGCTGGCAGGCATGGGAACGCATAGCCCTTCCCCGGTGACCCCTAATGGCCAGAGTGTGGGCAGCAACGGCTTCCCAGGCCACACCTGCCCACGACACAGTGATGGGTCTGACATGAGGCAGGGAATCGTGGTGCATCAGGCCCTTGCCTGGATGTGAACACAGTTCTCCCCCCTGTGATGGAGCCTGTTTTCTCTGTTCACTGGGGCTTCACTGCCATGTTCTCAGTGGTTCTGTGAGCCAGCTTTGATGCATAAAATTCCACACACTTACATGTACGTGACACTGAAAACAAAGGGACCAGGTGCCCGCATGTTCACCACGTTTTCCTGTTATCTGCCCACTCGAACATGTGCATCACTGTTTCCAGGCAGTGAGAACGTGGTAGCGACATGGCACCCAACGTTTCCTGGTGTGTGGGGACCCCACCCAGCACAGCTTGAAGATGCACACAGACATGGGCAGGCATCCTTGGGAAGGCCTCCCGGCACCTGGCGTCTCAGCCTGCTTGGACAGTGATCTTGCTTTCAGTGACCTGAGGTCAGCACTGCATTTCTGGCACAGGGAAAGGGCCTGCCCGATGGCCTGGGGCCCAAGGAGCACCCGGGCCTGACAGACTGGCAAAGCTGTGCATCCACCAGAGACACGAGGGGAGGGCTGGTCCGCAGTAGGGAGGGTCCGCTCTTCATCCTGCAGACAGGTGCCTGGGCAGGAATTGAGGCAGAGAATGGCTAGCATGGGACATCCTGTTCATGTGGGTGGGGAAGGGCCTGCAGGGCATATCCCTGGTCACCATCATACCCTGGGGCAGATGTACTCCTCAGCCTGCGCAGCTGGGGGAGACTGACCACCCGGCCCCTTTGGGAGCTTTGCTGTCGCAGGTCGGGTTGCCCAACATGCTGCGGTTGGATGACTGCTCTGGGGCTGACCCCTAATGTCTGTCACTGCTCTGCGGCCATAAATGGAGCAGATTTTAAATTCCATTCTTGTGCATTTTCTGTTCCTCAGCCTATTTAAGAGTTCACTATTATTCCCCCAAAGTAGCTTGCCATTCAGTAAAATGTTCCCTTTGTTCACAGAAGAACATTAAAATCTATTGCTTTGTACTCTCTTAAGGGGTGTTCTCCTCCATTGGGACTGCTGCCTCTCTCTCCACCCACCCCTTCTGCTCCCGCACACCCACGTGAGGGTCTGTGTTTGCCTCATTCTCTTGGCGCACAGATAATCACCTGCATGTGACAAAAGCGTTCGTTTGTTCAAAGGGAAAGACTGTCCACGCGAGACGAGGGGAGGCCCCTGGGTGGGGCAGGTGGGCTGATGGGATCTTGGTCGTTTATTCTGCGAGATATGATTCTGTCACCAAGATCAATGTAGGCAGAGGACAGTCAGGTGGAAGTAATCGGTGTTGTCTCACTCCTGTTCGGCCTTAACCACAGTGGCAGGGCGCGCCTCCTTCTGAGGGTCTGCAGTAAAATCCTATTTGTCCTGCTTTTCCTTTCCAAGATGACACGGGCTTTGCCTAAAAAACAGTTTCTACAGATTCGTAAGCCAAGGTCAACTGCTTGGTGACACAACTTCTTCTCGACAAGGCGGAGGCGGCTGGGTCTGTGGTGTTGGCCTGAGCATGAGTGCATTTCCATTTACATCTGCTAATGGTTTCCGCAGCAACTTTCTCTCGCGCTGATTTGGAGGGTAATTCGTCCACTGCAAGTCAGCCTCATTCTAAGTCAGGAGCGCATGAAGACAAAGCTTGTGTGGGAGCTAAATTGTCATAGAATGATCCTGGTCAGGCTGCAGATTAGGGAAGTGAGCTGCCCCGGTGCCACGGGGTGCATGCACACAGTCCAGGCAGCCTTCCCTGCGAGCTCGGGACGCTGGCTCACGGGGCACGCTTCCCAGTGATAACACACCAAGTAACCAGCACATCATCCAAAAATAATGCGCAGTCCTCGCCACAGTCCCGTGAGTTCCCGTGATGGCGTTCAGTGCCAGGGGTGCAGGTTCGTGGGGAGGCTGACCGGTGTCCACCCCGGGGGACTGGCTGCAGGCTGGCTCTGCAGGTGATTTAGGCTGTCCCTGCAGCAACTCCATGGTGTGTTTCTCAGTGGAGAGGACATGCAGGGTGTCTTGAGAACCGTGAGCTCTGCACGCTGACCCTGTACCTCTTGGCTTTTCCTAACAGTTAACAACAAGGAGAAACTGGAAGCGGCATCCGGACTGAAAATTCTTCACGTTGGAAGCGGGTTGGTGAGTAGCGGAGGCGCTGTCCTCTCAGACATGCGTGGTCGGCAGGCGGCCAGCTGCTGGGGGGCCTCCTGTTGCTTGAACACCCTGATCCACAGCACCAGTGTGTGCAATGCCAGTTTTGGTTGCATTTGAAGCCATAATCCCGTGCGTCCCTGAGCAGGAGCCGTCCTGGGTCAGAAAATGCTGAAATGCAGAGAACGCAGGCTTCCTCCTTCAGAGGTTTAGTGACCGCTGAGGTGTGGACACAATCCAGCTGAGGGCGGTTCTCCTCGCAGGGAGTTGTTGTTTAAAGACACGTTGGGGTGCGGGCACTGTGCGCGTGTAGCTGCCTCTGGGATGTGACTTGATCTGTGACGTGGCAGATATGCCCTCATGGGGCCGAGTTGGTTTTGGGAAGAGTCGCTTGACCGAACACTCCATCAGCCATCTGAGCTGGTAGCAATGCCCCTGGAACCCTGGAACCCAGGCCGCTGCCCGCTCCCTCTTCGCCTTGGGGCAGTGTAATGAATTGTGGGTGGAACGGCAGACGTGATTGCCCACAGGAGCAGCACCAGCCACACGTCAGGCGGTGTGGACCCGAACCAACATGGGCCATTGCATTTGAAATTTTAGATTTCAGGGCACTCGTGATTACAGGTGATTAGCTGTCCCGGGCAGCTCATTTGTGAGGGCCCGTCGCTTACAAAGCCATGGTGAACCACAGCCCCAGGGAGATCTGTTCCATGGTCATGAGTCCTGGTCTTGAAGTAAGGACGCACTTCTTCACAGATGGGCTCGTGTGCTCGCAGGCAGCAGGCAGGTCGAAGAGCCTTGCAGGGAGGCACCTGGTGCGGGGCACTGGTGTGCCAGTTACGTGAGACAAGGAGTCAGGCGGGTCTGGTGGAAGCCCGTCAACAGAGGCTTGGTGGGACCAACCCACCCCGTGCCTGGTTCTCTCCCAGCCTGCCCGCCTGGGCGGGAGGTGAGCCTGTGTCAGGCAGGACATCTCATCCCCCTGTGCTCCAGGTTTGGCACGTGGTGAGGGGCCGAGGCAGGGCAGGGAGGAACCGGCCAATGGGATGGACTATGGGCACGAGATAGAGGAGTTCGTAGTGTGCCTGGGCAGCATGAGTGGTGTGGGTGGGGCTCCGGCGGTGCCCCAGACCCCAGCCTGGGGGGGGGGGGGTCTGGCACCCAGAGGTCCTCTCCTGAGGGAAACACAGCCTCCTGCAGCATCGGGAAGGAGAGAGGCCACATGAGGGCTGAGCCCACGGGCTCCTCCAGGTGAGCACAGCTTTCCCGGGAGCCCGTTGCACTGGCTGCTGGACACTGTGACCCCCACGCTTTGGTGGGAGGAACACCTGAGCCCTCGAGAGGCCTGTTGAGGAGGAGCTGCCCAGACCTGGAGGATCTGGGCACTGTGGCTGCGTGTCCTTGCCCCACCCCTGCATCTTGGCCGAACCCTGCTCCGTGAACAACCCCTGTCCCCCCACCCCCGCCGCTCACCTATCTACCCTACACGACCTGCCCGTCTGAGGGACCTGGGGCCTCATCCTCCTGCCCAGTACTGGACGGACTGCTTTGGCCCCACACAGTCATGCTCATCCTCTCCTGTCTCCGTTCTTACCACCCGACTCCATGTCCTTGGTGTCAGAGGAGGTTGGGGTCACTGGGAAGGGTGGCTGAGGCGCAGGCCTACTCATGGCCCCTACTCGCCGCCCCTCTGCTTCCACGGCCAGCCAGGGGCGCCATCCCAATATCCACTCCCAGACGAGGCCACCGTCCCAGGTTCCGGGCTCAAGGTGGAGCCCCCACCGCCCTGGTGCTGTGCACGTCCTCCCTCGTGTGGACACGGAAGCCCAGGCCTCCAGCCCACCCATACCTGGGCCTGTGTGAAGGCACCAGACCCCTGCGATCCGCGGTGACCAGCGCCTGCTCGCGTCAGGTCTTTATTCCCCTGTTCACTCTGGGGTGTGCAGGTTACCCTTGTTCCGGTGCTTTCCCATGTCCACAGAGAGGTGCCGACGCCGCTCCAACCAATGCACAGTCCACTCATCCGTAGGATACAAGCCAAGTGCCTCTTGTGCGCTGGGCACGGTGCAGGACCAGGTCTGGGCAGTGAGCAGGGACCACCTCCCACCTCCCAGCCGTGGGGCTCACCCCTCCCCGAGCTGGGGTCCACTGAGGGTCTCCCATCACATCCACTGGGTTCTGTCTCGGGTGAGCTGCCTCTTCTGTCCCTTCCCTGGACAGACTTCACACCGGGCCTCGTCTGGACGGTCCCTCAGGCTTCCTCCTCGCTGCCCCCACACCCGGCCATCCCTACCGGGGCCCCTCCCGTGACTTGCACAGCTCTCCGCCAAAGTCAGGACCTCCTCCATCCATTCACCCCATCAGCAAACGTGGAGCACAGCAGCATGTCATCGGGAGTGTCCATGCATTAGTGCCAGCGCCAGTGTTCTTCAGCGCCCATGTCCCACGTCCCTGGGACCTTACCCACGTCTCTGGGACCCCGCCCACGTCTTGGAGACCCGCCCCCCCACACCTCAGCACACCGCCCCCCACATCCCCAGGACCCTGCCCAAATCCCCGGGCCCCCACCCACGTCTGTGTGCCCCCTCCTCAACGTCTCCGGGAAGCAGGTGAGCTCCTGGCTTTCCTGCCCCCTCCTTGCTGATTCACCAAACTTGCTGCCGCAGACCCTGGAGGGTCCTTGCCGGGCTGTCCTTTCCAAGGACGCTCATGTGCCCAAACTCCAAGCACTCACTGTGACGTGTGAGAGGCACCTGCTCCGGCCTTCCCGCAGACCAGCTTTCTGCAGCCAAACACGGGGCTCCTGGCTCATTACCATCGGTGTGCAGATTTGTGGGGGCGTTTCCCCCGCCACTATGTGAACCACCCCCCGCCCCCAGGCCCCTCTGGTAGCTCTGACCCCACATCCCTGCACAGCAAAGCCCAACGTCGCTGGTGCACGTTTCCCACATGCAGCACCTCACGTGCTCGCCCTGGTGCCCCCGTCACCACCTAGTCTCCACCAGGAGTGGAAGATTCTGCCCTCAGAATCTTTGGGCCTCTGACTTGGGGTCACCAGAGCCACCGTCCCTTCTTAGACTGAGCTTCCTGTCCTCTTAGCCGTCCAGCCTGCTTTTTGGAACCGTGAGCATGCTGAGGGCCCCGCTTTGGCCCCTGGTCTCTGATGGGTCCCAGGCACAGTCGTCTCGGTCTTCCCTGAACTGCCCCCTGAGGGATTGCTGGGCCCCGGCCTTGGCTTTATTCTCCTTCGTGGGATGCTGGCCCCAAATGTAGCTCTGCAGACTGACACAATCACTATGTCTCTTAGCCCCACACTTTTGTCCTTAGAGGGTGAAACAAGGTATCAGCCATCTCTGCCCCAGGCCCCACTGGGTGACAGACACGGCATCACCGTTGGTCACTAGCACTGTCCACGCACTGGATTGAGCCCAACTCCAGGAACTGGACTTGCACTTGGACTGTTTGTGACGATGACTGTTCAAACTTGCAGAAATTGCCCTCCACTCATGCTGGATGGCCGCCCTTCTCACTAGGGGGCAGTGGGGGTTTGCCCAGGTGGGGGGCTGCTGGAGATTTGGCGGGTGGGGGTGAGGAGGGCCAGTGAGCCCACCACCATGGCGCTGCCTCCTTCCTTTCCACCCACCTGGTCTGCTGCCTTCTCTCGTCCCTGAGTGGCCAAAGCCTGACCCACCATCTTTGGGGGCATAAACACCCATGCCCACGCACTGGAACCTGGCTGTGAGGGCCCCCCACCCCCGAGAGCGCCGTTTGTCCTCCCTGCAGCCCCAGGGCCTCCTGTGTGCCAGAGCTTTGGAGACCACCTCTCCAAACGCTTTCCCCTACCTTGACCCAGAAAGCTCTGGGTGGGGTCTTCAGCCCAGGACCCCTGCATCCCCCTGGGCTTCTGTCAAACCAACCCGTGTTCAGAAGCCGCCCTTGACAGAGACACAGGTGCTCAGAGATCAGGAGCCAGTTTTGGAAACTGAAAATGGGAACAAATGGGGCAAGTGGAAACATTTTTTTAAAAAAGCAAACAATGTGTGTTTCTTGGATGTTAACCACCTCGTGCAGCATTAAGCCTGATTTTGGTGATTCTGGGTTTTTGAGTGTTATCAAACGTGAGCATCTCCACAGCTTCCTGACTCTGAAGTGCACAACTCACACATGCGATCACAGCAGAACAAGAGCCCTTTAAGCCAAATGGCAATATCTCGAAACAAAATGTAACGGAAATGGACAGATGCACGCACACTACCCTGATAGACTGGGGCTATTTTGATGTATTTCAAGATCTAATCTCTGACATCTTGAAAGTGTTTGCATTTTCTTCAAATTTACAAAGTCGGAGGTTCTGAGAAGATGGCGAAGGTCTCAGAGCTTTACGATGTCACTTGGGAAGAAATGCGAGATAAAATGAGAAAATGGAGAGAGAAAACTCACAAAACAGTGAGCAAATTGTGGAAGTTGGAGAGGAATTAATTAATGAATATGCTTCTAAGCTTGGAGATGATATTTGGATCATATATGAACAAGTGATGATTGCAGCCCTAGACTATGGTCGAGATGACTTGGCATTGTTTTGTCTTCAGGAGTTGAGAAGACAGTTTCCTGGCAGCCACAGAGACAAGAGACTAAAAGGCATGAGATTTGAAGCCATGGAAAGATATGATGATGCTATCCAACTATATGATCGAATTTTACAAGAAGATCCAACTAACACTGCTGCAAGAAAGCATAAGATTGCCATTCGAAAAGCCCAGGGGAAAAATGTGGAGGCCATTCGGGAACTGAATGAGTATCTGGAACAATTTGTTGGGGGCCAAGAAGCCTGGCATGAACTTGCAGAACTTTATATCAATGAACACGACTATGCTAAAGCAGCCTTTTGTTTGGAGGAGCTAATGATGACTAATCCACACAACCACTTATACTGTCAGCAGTATGCTGAAGTTAAATATACCCAGGGTGGACTTGAAAACCTCGAACTT